CTGAGAGAGTGAGCCCTACCTGTGATCAAATTAGTCACTGCAAGAATATCCCTAATAACTTGAACTTAGATGTTGATAGAGCCAGACAGCATCTCAAAAAATTGCTCTATCCAGGAATATAACTCAGAATGTTAAGTATTAGAAATCTGAATTATTAGATCAGTCTCATGCATTTCTCATGACAACAGGAGAATCTTCTGCAATATTATTTCCTAGTTCTTTTGTGTGCTTGTTATTTTTTTTAATATGTCACACTAAGTGGCAAAGAATGTTGGGTAAACACAACAAGAAAGAGATTTTTTTTTAACCTCACTATAGGTCTTGTTCATGCCACATGGTCAATTTGCCTCACTGCCATCCCTTTGCTTTCCCACCTTTAATAGGAGAGATAGTAATACCTGTCTGCTCCTTAAGACATTTATGCTGATTACTTATCACTTACCAAAATCTTTCAAATTGAAAGAAGTGTCACAGAGGCAATATGAGACATAAATTTGCCTTTCACTGTGTTTCTTACTTCCTTTTTGTGTTGAGAGCCAAGACTCGTTTCTGATAGCTATCATGTTCTACTCCTTCTCTCATCAATTATTTGAAGAAGTTACTGTCATCCAAGGCTATGTTTCTAATGATTTTTTTTAGCTGTGTAATTTAAAGAGTGCAAAATCATTCAATTTCATCTTATTCTGGAGATCACTAACTGTAATTATACATGGAAATTATGAAATGAAGAAAAACTAGATATACTCTAATCCACTTTCAGGGTCTAGCATAAATCCAGGTCAGTTATGCTAATTTCAAACAGTGTAAATTCACCAGTGCTTCAGAAAAATAAAACTGGTATCAAGTTATGGAGCAAAAGTTTGTTTCACAACATGGATTTCATTTTCCTCACAGAAACAGTGGAGCTAAATAAAAAGACAAATTATTCTCTTCTATCTGATCAATCAAGAATTGCCAGTCTAATATAAACACGCCTTAAACACAATCCCAAACCCAAAAGACACCCTTCCCAAAATCTTCAGCCCTCCCAAACCAATTGAAAAAGACATATTACAAAAATCTCATGTTATGCAAAGAGTTCAAGGAGATTGACCTTGGTTCTTTCAAAGGCTATAATAAATACTCTTTGAAGAAAAGGAATGCTAGTGAGAACAGATCCTTTCACACATGAGAAGAGTAAATTAAAGATTCAGAAATGGCTCTGACATCAAGTTCCTTTTCAAGTATTTCCTCAGTGGGAAAGAAAAAGGAAGAAATGCTGGAAGCACTAAGGGAGAGTGGGATGAGGATCCTTGAAAGAAACTGCAACAGCTAATGAAGGACATACAGGGAAACACATTGGGAAAATATGAACAAAGTAAAAAATCTAGACAACATGCATTCTACAGGACTTTAAAGAATTGGCTAAACTCCTTCATCTTCACAAGACAAATAACTGAAAAATTAAAGTAGAGGGAAACATTAACATTACCACCTTACACAATAGCAAGGGTACTGCAGACAGACTCGTAAATCCAGTTTTCTGTCCCTAATGGTCACTCTGTCTTCAGTGAGCCTTGGGTGCAGGGCCTTGTGCAAGGACAGGGGACTATCCTAGTGCAGATCAGCTTTAATAGGGGCACAATGTTGCATCTCACAGGATCTTAGTTCAAAAAGTAATTCACATTGGCTCAGCCATTTCCATGTGGCTTTCAAGTTGCTGAGGTAATGAAATTACAGGAAATAAGCTGCAATGTAGCAAGGTGGTGGGAACTGTCTCCTGGCTGCCATGTGGATGACTGCTGGGAACAGACTGTTGGACTTCTTTATTAATGATCTGGAAAAGAGAATGCACAGCACTTTGATGAAACTCACAGGTATGAGTGTGAAAGACAGTGTACAAAGAAAATAATATAGAATTTCCTAAAGATAGAACCACGGAAACAAAAATAATCAAAGGAGACTCAACTTGGAAAATAATGCAGCCTGGGAATGCATCTGAGAAGGAATTACAGGAAGATCAAATCTCACATGCAATAATGATGAAAGAGATGTAGGGAGATAGCTCATTCTAAATGATGTGAATTGGTAATGTGCTGTGGTGTGAAAAGGTCACTGCGGTATGGGACAGGGTAAATAGTGTCACATCACTGAGAAAGGAAGAAAGGAACAAATACAACTTTTTGCATGCTGCTGGTACAGTTCCATCTGGAATATCATACACATTTCTGGATATTGACAAATTTGAGAGTTCAGAGAAGAGCACCAAAGATGATCCAAAGACTAAGAGGATTGATTTATGAGGAGACATTAGAAGAGTTAAAAATATAAATTGCTTGGCTAAGAAATGATTAATGGGGGACATGATAACAGCCTACTAATATTTGAAGAAGACCACCAGTGAAGGAAAGGCATTTTTCAGCAGTATTCTCATGGAACATCAGAGTTCAGAGAGCAACTGAGAAGCAAAAACATATACTGAGTATCAAGAAATGCTTGCTGATCATGAATTATCATAATGTGAGGAATAATTTCCTCAGTAGGAGAGTAATGTGGCTTTTACTTGTGTCTTTCAAACACAAACTTGAAGAATTCCTTAAGAAACCTATGTATCCACAACAGCAAAAGTTTGAACTCTGACTTCTCTGATCCATTCCAGCTCAGCCAAGCTGCATACAGTCTCTCATTCCCTCTTCCCCAAGATGAGTTGGGCATATTTGTACAGTTGTCACATTCTGATTTGTGTTTCTTCCCATGCTGTTTGCTCCCCTGGCATTCATAAAACGAAAAAAAAAAAAAGGAGCTACTGTTAGAGAAGTACTTTTGTTACTTGAGGGGCAGTGAAAGTCTCAGCACCTGTCTTACCACTGCCTGCAAATAACAAACCAGCAGTCAGACACCTACAGAGCCTTTCAGTAACTGGGCTCTTGATGAGCTACATCAACAGTAAATATTAAATGCAAGTGCTTTTTCCTTTCTTTTTAAGGTTAAAAAATTACAGTATAGCAAAGCCTGACTACTCTGAGTTGTCAGAAAGCTCATGGCTGGCCAATAACACTGGAAAAACAGTATGAACCTGGCAAGGCATGGAGCTGGAAGGTAACTGGAATCCTTCTTCATCCAGCCACAGAGTGTTTCCCAGGGAGACACAACGCCATAACACGTGTCATGCAGCAGCAGCAGAAGTTTTAAATCTTGCAGTTCCCTTTGCTAGATATATCTCCCAAAGTTAGATTAATTGTGTATCTTTCATCTTCAGCCATCTCTGAAAGGTCTTATCTTTATCTCTGCTTTCAGAGGTCCATAAATTTCTCTGTGTTCAAAGGCTTCATCCCTTCCCCCAGTCCCTCCCTAGTTCGGATATCCACAAACTCCAGCACGACTGGCAAATCTCTCTGTATTTAATCCCCTTAAATTATCTTCCCCTTCATATTTCCTTCCATGTCTTTCACCTATTTCCTTCCAATGCTTCACTGCTAAGTTCATCCTTGCTGAATCCTTCTGCTGGCAATCTCCTTCCTATCAAAAACTTCCCCATTATGGAAATCAACATTGCTACTTTCTTTCCCGCTAAATATTTCCCCAGTACTGGAAACCTAAATTCTTTCAAGAATAATCAAGAATAAAGAATTGACCAAGTCAATTTTAAAACCATGAAGTTTGTTTGAAGGTTTTCACTTTTTCCATGGACATCTTTTTCCCCTCTCCAGAGGCAAAATTATCCATAAACTGCTGCCAATGGTTTTGCTTAAAGCATTCACTGAAGAACCTAATGTGAAATATATTCAACTTTGACACGTTTTCTGCCTAGTAAAGGAATTTAAATCCATTAAAAAATTGATTTAGTTTATAAGCAGGCAGCTATGTTTTCAATGTAATTTTTATTCATGTTTTTCTTCATCAGACATGACTGATTCAGGTAGATCAGTCCCTGTACACTAGGTTACCATAATTATGCACTATACCCATTTCAAAATTAGTTCCAGCTAGTTAGCTTCACTGCACGACAATTCACACTGCCAATTGAGAATTTAACCTAGTTTGATGATGGATACATATAAACAGCAAAATCCATAATTTACACACTGTAGGAAATAAACTCTCTGGCTGGCCAGAGACATGAAGCATATGAAGGGTTCTCATTTTAGATGGTTGGAAATTTTAAACTCAAGCAGCTTTTAATCAACATACCATTGAAAACAAATTTCAGTAGTTGCATTTCTTATTCAGCAGTGGTACAATGTAACTGAAAATAGAAGCTCCAAAAGCTTGATGGTCTATTACTCAACATGTGCTTATAATAAATTATATGTAAATAGCAGTTATGGTGTACTAAGAAAAGCCAGAAAGACAACCAGTTTCAATAACCTGGAGGGGCTGAGAAAAGGGCCATTTCTGTCCTACTGTTCTGAAATAATTCCTATAATTCAAACACTCTCATGTGTCACTGGTTTCTATTATTATCAAGTTGCAGTAGCATCAAGTCCCATTGTACTAAAATAGTTTTTAGAGAGCTAGCACCAGTTACCAGAACTAGACACTGTTATCCCTCCCTCTCAGCGCTGGCAGCAAGGCTGGAGCAGGCTCTGGGCTGGGGAGGAGCTGCAGGAGCTGTGTGCTGTGCTGTGCAGAGGGGTGATGAGGGGTACAGGGTGAGCTGCCCCAAGCCTGCGATCACAGCAATTCCCCACCACTGCGGTGGGCACCCGGCACTGAGAGCGGGGCTGCAGCAAACCACCTGCAGGTCACACCTCAGCCTTCCAACAGAGCTGGGGGCTTCTTCCCCACGAATCCAAGGGGGGTAAAGACTGCTGTTGGTTGGGCTTAAATAGCCATGGTTACACGAGTAAAAGCGAGTTAAGAAAAGTGTTCAGCTTGAGGCCCTGGAGCAATGAGCATCTCCCCACACATGCAAATTTACTGAAATAGAGTGAATTTTCCCTGCTAGTACAAGGAAGACAGGCTGGCTTTATTTCTGAGTTTGGTCTCCTATACTCTTAACAGCTTTCCTTTCACTCTAGGTGAAGACGGCTAACTACAACCCACACAGACAGACAGTGAAGACTGCACACTCCACCAAGAGACCAGGACACAGGCCACAGATTTTCACAAGGATATCATAAGAAGAAAGTGTTATAAAAATCAGTCATGGATTCACCATGTGACACGATGGCCTGCATCACTCCCCTCCATTAATCCCTATCCTGCATCCCTGAGCTGTAGTTGTAGAACCTCATCCATTACTGCCATGCTATGGGTTCACCTTAGTGCCTCAATTCAGGGTGCTGGATGCTGCAGAAGCAAACATATGCTGGAGACTTGCCTGTGTAACACAGGACCTAGCATCCTTTGAGAGTTCCCTTTGGACTGTGCATACCTCTGAGGGGAATGAAAAAGGTTTGTTGCAAAAGTTTGTGCCGATTTGGTAAAGAGGACTAATTGGGGTGAGTCACTGGTAAGACTTCAACATTGTGAGTTGGAACAAAAATCTCAGTGGAAAAGTACAAGAATTATTTAAATGTTTTAAATTATAATTTGTCATGAAGAAAAAGACAACATTTCATCCAAAGGCAATTTTACAGGAGTGATTGCTCTGACATGAGCAGCAGACAATAAAGGAGATGCCAGCCCAGGAAAATGTGTGTGGAGTCATTGGCAGGACACGCATGGGAAGATAAAAACTAAAAATCCAAGTGAACTCTCTGGCATAACAGCAGACAATATTGCAGCTGATGACAATAAAGTTCCCACACTAATACTTCAGTAGGAAAAGGTGCCAATAAAGACCTTACTGAAAAGCACACAGAATCAGAGCTTGATCTGTATTTAGAACAACTGAGTTTCAGAGCATGCATGGAGTTGTGACCTGAGGACACTTTTTCCAACAGAGAACAGAAATCCAGACTAACTGCATTATTAGACACTGGGGACTTGTAAAAATGGAGGCTGAGACAGCAAAGCAAACTCCTCAGTCAAACTCAGTGCTGTCAAATCCATCTCATCCTGGAATGAGAGCTGGTACTAAACTTCATGGGGATTCTGAGTTTCCTGGAAACTGCAGATGTGTATTTTTTACAGTAATTGCTATAAAGTAATCCTTTAATTTTCTTGCAACATCCTCTTAATGCTCTCTGCAGACTCATCAGCCTTCACTGGTTGTTATCCCTGACCTGATCCATTAGATCGACTCGTATTACAGCACTGGTCTTCATTTTATATTACACAAATAGGGTCAGGCAAATGCAAACATGAAATGTGCAGTGTCAGAAATATGCAACTGTAAACGTATTTTTGTTGGGCAAAATATGCAAATACCTAAACAAATGGAGGAATATATAGCCCTCCTATTGAAGGTCTTAGGCTTTCAAATATGGAGAATTCCGAAATTGTCAGCGGAAGGAACAGAATTGCAAAAAGCACAGAAAATAATCACATGCTTGTCACATTGTCACAGCCCACCACCTACTGCACTTCGGAGCAGCAGATTGTGATGGGGCCAAACTTTTTAGCAATGCCTGTTGTAGTAAAGAACAAAGGAACAAAGGACAATGGTTCAAAAGGAGGGCCGATTTAGATTAGATAAAAGGACGTTTTTATGATGAGGGTGGTGAAGCACTGCAACAGGTTGGCCAGAAAGGCAGTGAACGTCCCATCCCTGGAAACATTCAGGGTGGGCACGCTGGTCTAGTAGAAACTGCAGGGGATTGGGCTCGAGGGGCTTTAAAGCTCCCTTCCAAGGCAAATGCTCAGTGCCCGGTGATGACGGGCCCTTCCCCGGCGCCCGGTGCCGGCCGCTCTCCCCCGGCCCTCACGGGCGGCTCCGCTCCGGCCCCGAGGCAGCACAGGGCCCGGCCGTGACGTCACGCGCGGCGCGGCGGCGGTGGCGCTGAGGCGCCGCTGGGTGTCGCTGTTGCCGGGCGGCGCAGCGCGCTACAAAGCCGGGGCGGTGCGGGGCGGCCGCCGCCATCTTGCGCGGCCCCGCCCGGCGCCGCGGCTCCTTCAGGCGCGGCGCTGCCCGGCCCGGATCGCACCCTCCGGGGCCGGAGCGGCACCGGCGCTGCCGCCCTCGGGTAGCCTTGGTCGGCTGCCGCCAGGCCCGGCGTGGCAGCTCCCTCGCAGACAGGGCGGCCTCGTCGCCGCGTGTCCGTCGCTCCTCGCTGAGCGGCGTGTGCCACAAAGGAACGCACCTCACTGCCAGCGCTCGGGGGACGCTTGCGAGCAGCTGGGATAATTTGCTGGAAAATTGAATTTCGGGGCAAAGAGAAAATCAAATTAGGGACAGAAAAGTGATAAGAATGCTGAACAGGGGTTTGTCGAGGTTTTGCAGCTGTAGAAAAGGCCGAGCAGCCTGAGCTGCTTGACATTCAGGGAGGATGTGGGAGGTGGTGTAAGGTGTGAATGCCCAGTGCAGGTGCGCTTGAGTTTTATCCTTCCTTAAATCCGGAGTCAAGTTTATGGGGAAGTCAGAGCTGAGGAAATGGACACCTATTCCTGGTCCCTTCTTAGGGACAGGTCACACTGAGGGACATTTTTCATTATGGAACTTATGCCTTCCTCCCCTTTATCCCTGGATTTTGTCCCTGGAGATTGATTTAGGCCACGATGTCCATGTGGACACATCATCTGGTTCCAAATGGGAGTTGTTTCCCATCCCCAGGGCAATCCCAAGTAACAGGATAACACTCCCCCACCAGGGACACTCCGCTGCAAGGGGGACAAGAAGCCTGGGCTGGGTGTGTCACAGCAATCCATGTCACACGGGGTGATCCCTGTTCAGGAATATGCCAGGAGCCCTTCTGGTCGGATCACCGTTCAGCAGCAGGCCCTCTTCAGATGGATCCCTCTGGCACCACCACTTGGAGCCCCTCCCGTGTGCAGGAGTAGTCTGAACACTTAATAAAAGAAAGTGGAGAAGAATGCAAATTAGGAGATGAGAAGCTTGTAATAAGAATGATTTGTCATGACATCTGTGTGCAGAGGTGGAAGATGCTCAATGCCTTAGGCAAGTAGAGGGCCCAGTACTACTCTGACACAAGCTGTTGATTTTGAAAGGCAGGCTCAATGAAAAACAGCACAGAATCAAGCTTTTGGGCTGTTAGGGGAGAATTATTCTATCTGAATGAGGGTATGTGGAAGAGTTAGACACTGTCTTTCTGAAATTCTGTGATTTTGTGAAAGTTGCTGAACACCCACAGCAAATCCACATATTTCAGCTCAAGCAGCCTTTTGACGCAGGTTCTCATCTCTGCTATGTAGGATTGTTTTTCTCTGGGTGTGCTGCTGCCATTAAAGAGCAGAGATGGGAGAGATCCTTGGATTTAACACATTCCTCCTTCCAGAACTGAGGTGGAGGGGAGCAAAATGCAGTCCCTCATTCATGCCCTGGTAGGTCATTACACAGCCACAGCTGTCACCAGCCAAGCCCTGCAGGGCTGCTGGTCTGTGATGCCTTAGCAAGTTGTAAAAGGAACTACTGGCAGTTTGTTACTACAGCATAAACAAGAAAGTGTTCCTTTTGTGCCCATCTCCTTTCCTCCCTAGTCTATGAACTTTCCTGAAGAGCTGATTATGGTGCTTGCCTGAGTTTACAGGGAGCAGTATCTTGTATCTGTCTAATAAAACAGGTATTTCTAAAAAAAAGGTATTTCACGAGCTCTGCAAATCCTCTTTGGACTGAGAGCACCTTTGGAACGCTCCTCATCACAGCAAAGAGCTGTATAAATTCAGCTTTAAAAATGTTGCAGTTCAAATGACAAGTCAGCATCTATCAATAGGGGCAGCACTGATGCAAGAAGCTTTGGCAGTCCATGAGAACAGCAGCAGGGACACTTAGGGAGCCAGTTGTGTTTTGTGTGGTTTTTCCACCTTGAACATACACCAAGGCACACACATTCAAACCAGTCTACCTGGCAGCAGATTGCTGACAAGTGTGAAACAATTATTTCTGGAGAGGCTTAAATCATTCTCATGGCTTTGCCCTGCAAAGTGCAAAGCCTACACTTCTTATCCAAAGTTGGGAATTTGCCAGTTGCAGGTAGAATTTAGCTGGAATATCTGCTACTCAAAAAACTCTTTAGAAAACCAAGGCTGTTAAGCTGGAGTTGGTGGCTCTCAGCCTGCTAACCTTGGGCATCTAGACAGAGTGTCTTTGCTGCTTAACATGAATCAGAACGCACAGACAGCCAGAACAGGTCTTGGGAAAGACATCAAACAAACACCAGAAGGAATTAATGAATACAAGGTTTTTCTTTCTTTTTTATGTTTTGGTTAATCTTTCACATTTTAAAGCTCTACTAATATCCTTGATTTTAGGAATGAGCAATCCCATGTTTTATAAACATTCTGAATCCTGCTGTAGAAGAGGTGTTGGGTCACAAAACCTGCGATGTGCAGTTTGTGTCATAGCCTGACATCAATTAAGACATAAAGAACAAAAGAGATTTTTCTGCTGCTGCAAAAGGGGACATATTGAAGCCAATCCCCATCCCCAAGAACATGTGTTTCTCTACTAGACAGATGAGATTGGAGTTCATCAATGAGTTGTTTTCTTATGAATACTATTCCCAACCTTGTTGGTGAATTTAGCCATGGAATAAATAAACAAAATAAAGCAGTGTTGTGAGTAATCACCTGAGGTGTGTCCATCCCAAAGGGAAAAGCCCTGCAGCTGTGGCAGGGATGCTCCCTGCTACCCACACACTAGGAGGATGTACTGGTGACAGCAGTTTGCATGGTGGAGAGTCTCTGTTAGAGCTGCACCCCTCTTTTATGTGGGTGACCATCCGATGATCACACCAGTCCTTTTGGACTGCTGAACAGAATTTGAACAGGCAAATGAGATTTCTTTGTTGTCATCCAGCAGTTGTAGTAATTGTCCTAGGCGCAGTTGTTGTAAATAAAATCACAGATGTTGAAGTCTCCCTCTATTTGCTGCTGGTAGCAGAACTCAGCTCGCTGCAGCTGATTTTCTGGTGCTTTTAAGCTGGTTTTCAGAGCCATATAAAAATAAGTTGTTTGCTTAACCCCAAGTAAGCACACAAGAAGGAAGTCTTTTGCACAAATGGCGAAGATCCTCAAAGATCCTCCTTTTAATGTAGCGGGATGGAGTTGTAAAAGTCCCAGTTCTGCAGCAAAAGGATTCCTTTGATGTAGAGAATGTGGAGTAGGCTTTGTAGAGACCTTGCAGATTCCAGCGCAGGGTGTGTGTGCTGACAGGCAGGGGTTCTGGATGGAGGGGCTGTGGAGTGAGTCCAAGCAGTGGCCTGGCCCCTGCAGTGACTGAGGGGAGTGGGGCCTTGAGCAGTCCTACACACAACTTCAGTGGCTCAGCAGATTTACCTGACCCTTCAAATTAACTCCAACTGTGGGCACCAGGGAAATTTTCTAAGCTGCTTTACACCCAACTTGTCAGTCCCTTCCCATTAATTTCTCATAATTTTGCCAGCCTTTACTTAAGGCTGGCAAAGATCTTGGCATCACCTGTATTCCTAAAGCAATTGCAGTTCATTCATGCAGAAACCTTTACAGGATTAAGGAGGCTTCAAATGAGCTGTGTTGCTTGCTTCTTTTTTTTTTTCAACTTTATTCCATTTGTTTCCCAGCTATTCTGGGATATTTACAATTGTTTTCATCATTGGTTTCCATCTACTAACTCTGTGTTTCAAGTGAGTGGGAAGGAATTCTTTGTGTTGTTTTGAATAAAATAATTTTTCCAAAATTTAGAGCGTGACATAACCTTTTCTAAAACCACAGGTAAAATCCAATGTGTAGGAATGCAGCAGTTCAACCTCCCTTATCCTTGGAACCATCTACACAAATCTTCGCTGAGCCAAGACCACAAAGAGGGGATGAAGACCTAATGAAGAGGTTCACAAGTGGCACATGACAAGAGGTCCTGAATGTGCTATCAGCCCACTGAGTAGGGCTCAGATAGGCTGGGCCTTTCCTTGTCTCCCTCCAGTTGCAGAGGGTTCAGGTTAATCAATAACTGCTGAGTCCTGGTTCTGTGATGTAACCCAGAGATGAGAACAGCTCTCAGACCAAAGGAGAGAGGCCTCCTTGGAGAGCTGAGGCCATGTGTGAGACAGCAGAGGAGAACTGGGATTTAACACGAATCGTTACCGTGTTAAAGTCTGATGAGATGCATGCTTGTGGCTCAGTTCTGACCCTACCCCCACGCATGAAATTTTTGAGAGCTTTTCCTTACATTAGCAAACATGTTCAAATTCTGAGTTGCCTGCCAGCCGGAACTGGCCTGCGTCAGCTCCTACAAAGAGGCAGCTGCTAAAGCATGTGTTTTCCACTCACACAGGGGCTCCAGCATCAAACATGATGGGCATTTTTTTCCTCTGTCTTCTGCTTCTGCAGCAGCAGAGTGTTTCACAGAAATAACTTGGTCTGTGTGAATTTGCATGACACCATATTCCCTGAACTGTTTAGCCCTGAACCCTATAGAGGGTATAGAGAAGGTCCCTCAGATAGGGAGTCTTTATTTTATATGGAATAATGAGAAATAACCACTTAATGATATAGAAAAAGCTACATAAAATTAATTTCCATTCCTGCTGCTCAGTAATGGCCTTGTTTCCAGAAGCAGAAAGACAGCAGAGTAAGTAACACAAAGCATCAGACCCATTTTTATGAAATTGGCTGGTTTGTGTCAGTGATAGAAAGGACAAGAGGGAAAATGCCTCCGTCAAGCTGTGCTTTCTGGTATATTTAGTGTATATTGAAGTGCTTCCTGGTATATTTAGAAACAACTGAATGACAGAAAATACAGGTTGTAGTTAAGGTCCCTTATTAACA